AATGAATTTCTAGTGAAGTCGAAATGGAGTTTCACCGGGTCATAGATTCATTTAATGAACTTGGGGTTGAAGGCAGAAAGGGTTTCCTGGGCCACAACTTGCACGCTGTCCGGGGTCATCACATTCCTGATACTTTGTTATGCAGCTTGATCGAGCTGATCCAGTCCCCAACATACAGTTTACAAACAAAAGTATCTACACAGCATCAACACCTACTTACCCTGTGGAAATTATTATAACTTCCGGGGGGGAAATGAGCACGAGGTCGTGCATGAACCCGGTTCAGGTTCCACGTTTCCAGGGATCCAGAAAACTCTGCGGCAGACGGGCCAGAAATGCTAGGACATGAGCACAGTCTTCCCGGGAAACGCTGAACGTTTTTGACCGTTTTTGCCCCCAAAAGCGCATCAGGGGCCGAGGCGTGCAGGCCAACGATGCAGAAATTTAAAAACCTTCCAACCCGGCTGCCACCGGGTCCCCAAACGCTCCCCGTTTGCAGCCTGACGGGCGGCGACCACCCAGATTCGGAATCCGGGCAGCGAGCCGAGGAAAACGGGGATTTCTGGGGCTCGGCCGCCCTGTGAGGTCAACAGAGGAGGGACCCCCCGGCTCTCGGAAACGGGAAACGGGCTCGGGATCAAATGGAAGCGTTTGCGAGTGTGGACACACACACGGGGACCTGGGTTTTGGGGGAACGTGCAACGCACCAGTGCATTTTGCAAAAAGCGATTTTTATTTATTTTTTTAATTATTATTATTATTATTATTATTTTATTATTATTATTATTTTTTGCCTTGAAACTTGCAGCGTCCCCACCGGCGAAACTCAGCACGTCTTAAATCGGCGGTTTTCTTGGCAGGAGCGAGCGCACAGGTCTCATGGGAGCCCCTTAAATGTCCATCTTAGGGGATTTTTTTTTTTTTTAATGGAAGAAAATGTGAGAACGCGGCGGGCGGGGGATGCTAACAAAACACAGACCGTTTTTACGACGTATTTTTGCAAATTAACCAGAGGCCCCTCGCCGGGGCCTGGGCAGCGTCTGGAAACTGTTTTCTTTCTTTTTTTTTTTTTTTCCTAAAAATCTAATTGCTTCTGGTTGCCTCGTGCCCTCGCGGGGGGACCGGCTATGACCACGTGACCCCAGATGCCGCCGGGGGTTTTTGGTTGAAATGAGGACCCGGTTTGTCTCCGGGAGGTTTCCGAGCCCGCGTTTTTTCGGGGTTCGATTGTGGACGCACGGAAACGCCGAGCGACTGGAGTTAACGCCCCGCGCGCCGCACGTTGGGAAACTGGTTTCTGTGGATTCGGGGCTTAAGCGAAGGAGGGGGTTTCGTGAGGGCGACGGGGGGTCGTGACTCTCGGGGTTGCAGAAACGATCAGACAAACGGGAGCGGGGGGCGGTGGTGGAGCGAGCCAGACGTGTAGGGCTGGAATGCAGGCCTTATCAGGGCCTTAGGGGCCCCGGGGCGGCTGAAACAAAATCCTGAAAACTGGGTGGTTTGAATCCAAGGGATCCGTCCATCCTCCCCCGTCCTGGAGCCCAGAGCGTGAGGTCGAGGGTCGCAGGGCCGCGCTCCCTCCGGAGGCTCCAGGGGAGGGTCCCTCCTGCCTCTTCCGGAGTCCGGGGCTCCAGGGTCCCTGGGCTGGTGGCCGCCTCCCTCTCTTCTCTGCCTCGGTCCTCAGGGGGCCGTCTTCTCCCCGTGTCCTCAGGTGGTTGTCTTTTCTTTCTTTCTTTTTGTTTTGAGGAAGATTGGCCCTGAGATAACATCTGCTGCCAATCCTCCTCTTTTTTTTTTTTTTTTGCTGAGGAAGACTGGCCCTGAGCTCACCTCCGTGCCCATCTGCCTCTACTTTATGTGTGGGACGCCTGCCACAGCATGGCTGAGTAAAATAAATGCTCAGGAGTCCGCGGGATTAGATAAATAAATGAATAAGTAAGTAGGTAAGAGGAGAAGGCTGTTTCTAAGAGCAGAATTTCAACGGTTGATGCAGAAGAGATGGAGCTGGAAGAGCATCAATGAGTGGGTGGAACCCGATGACGACCGGGATGCTGATATGACCCCAAAGCGTCCTGCCCAACAAGTTGCTCACTAATTGCAAAGTGGGGACGGTGACCCCACCGTGGAAGGACACGTTACCCCAAAATCCGACTCTGAATTAATCTCCCGAATCGAATGAACAAACGGGTGGAACCAGGAAAAAAACGTCAGACGCGCCCAAACCGACACGCAGGTCTCCCAAATAACGGCCCCACACTCTTCAAAAATCGTCCAGGGGCAGAAAGACTCAGAAAAGCACTGCGGTTTACGGGGGAGAAAAGCGAAATGCATCCTCTTAGATTAGATCTCAGGCTTCGGGCGAGAATCAGTCATAAACGAGTGTGGATGAGACGACAGATGGTATCGGGGCTCGATTTCCTGATTTTCATAACGGTGCCGGGAACGCACAGAAAAGGCCGTTTTCTTCAGAAATACGCCCAGAAGCAGGTAAGGGGCGGTTTCGTTTCGTGAGGAGTTTCCGGCAGCAAAATTTGGACAAAATTGGACATTTCATTTTGGGGGGGTTGAGACTAATTTCGGGGATGACGTAGACGGGACGTGGAGCACGTTCTAGAAACACGAGCAGGAGATGCTCCGTGGTTATGAAATCGGGGGGGTCGCACAGCATTCTGGGAATCCCAGGAGCGGGGCTGGGACGCTGGGGGTCGTCTGTCTGTTGTCGGTTTAATTTGCACACCCCTGGTGGACAGGACTTAAGAGGGTGTAGGAAGTTTTTTCTCCGCTATGTCTCCATTTGTTTCTTTATTTCCCCAGAAAGTATAAATTTTATTGGAAAAGACCCACTTCCTTCTAAATTGAATCTACCTGATTTATAGTTTGGCCCAGTTTTCTCGTCACCAGGGACAAAAATGGCTTTTGCTGTTTCCTATCGATGGGATCACGCGTCCCGAGGCCACTCGGGGGCCTTGGAGGACCCGGGTGAGGTCAAAGGGGACTTAGTACGAAGGACGGAAGACGTTCCTCTCACGTCCACACTTGGGACATCACACGTTCTATGTAGGAACCGAGGACAAAGGCCCAACATCAAATATACGTTTCCGTCGCTTTTTTTTCTTTTTTTTTTTTTTTTGACCCATTTTGCCCACTTCCCATCCCCGGCCTCTGGCAGCCACGAGTCTGTTCTCTGTAGCTGCGAGTTTGTTTTTTGGGGGTTTTTTTTTAGGTTCCACATATAAGTAGATCCCACGGTGTTTGTCTTTCTCTGCCTGGCTTATCTCACTTTGCATAACGCCCTCGAGGGTCCGTCCACGTGGGCGCAAATGGCAGGATTCCCTTCTTTTTCGTGGCTGAATGACATTCCGTTGTGTGGATATAGACCACACCTTCTTTGTCCATAAAAGGATTTCTTCCCCTTTTCATGGGTGAGTAATACTCCATTGTGTATATAGACTGCATCTTCTTTATCCATAAGAGGCTTTCCTTCTTTTTCATGGTTGAATAATACTCCAGTGTGTGTGTGTGAGTGTTTGTGTGCATCACGTGTTCTGTATCCATAAGAGTCTTTCCTTCTTTTTCATGGGTGAATACTACTCCATTATGTATATGTATATTTATCACATCTTCTTTACCCATCTTCTTTATCCATAAGAGGCTTTTCTTCTTTTTCATGGCTGAGTAATATTCTATCATGTCTATAGACCACATCTTCTTTATCCATAAGAGGCTTTCCTTCTTTTTCGTGGGTGAATACTACTCCATTATGTATATGTGTATTTATCACATCTTCTTTACCCAACTTCTTTATCCATAAGAGGATTTCCTTCTTTTTCATGGCTGAGTAATATTCTATTGTGTGTAGAGCCCACACCTTCTTTGTCCATAAAAGGATTTCTTCTCTTTTTCATGAGCAGTTAATACTCCGTTGTGTATACAGACTGCATCTCCTTTCTCCATGAGAGGCTTTCCTTCTTTTTCATGGCTTAATAATATTCTATTCTATATATATATATACATACATGTCTATGTATACATAGACAACATCTTCTTTATTGATGACAGGATTTTGTTCTTTTTCACGGCTGAATAATACTCCATTGTGTGTATGTATACATATACCACATCTTCTTCATTCATAAGAGGCTTTCCTTCTTTTTCATGGCTGAATAATACTCCACTGTGTGTATGGATAGATACACCACTTCTTCTGCACCCCTCAGAGTCTTTCCTTCTTTCTCACGGCTGAGTGACCTGCTATTGTATGGACAGCCCACCTCTTCTCTGTCCAGTCACCCATCCATGGGCACTTGGGTAGTTTCCACGTCTCGGATATTGTAAGTCAAGCTTACACAAACATGGGTTGCGGGTATCTCTTCGAGATGAAGCTCTCGCTTCCTCCAGATGAACACCCAGCAGCAGGACTGAAGGACCCTGTGGTGTCTTCCTGGTGACAGCCCAGCATCGCCTCCCCTCCCAGATTCTCTCCATCCTCATCCCCCAAAGTCCTGATGACATGGCCCATCTTCCTCTTTTTTTTTTTTTTTTTTTTTGCTGAGGAAGATTGTTGCTGAGCTAACATCTATGCCCATCTTCCTCCTTCTATTTTTTTTTTTTTTGGCTTGAGGAAGATTGGCCCTGAGCTAACACGTGTGCCAGTCTTCCTCTATTTTGCATGTGGGACGCTGCCACAGTGTGGCTTGATGTGCGGTGTGTAGGTCTACACCTGGGATTTGAACCCCAGGCCACTGAAGGGGAGCTCGCACACTTAACCCCTACACTACCAGGCCGGCCGGGTCATTGTTTTTCTCAGTTACTCACGACCATGGATGGAATGCATTTAAGCCAAACCTATGGGTCTAAATGGCCGTCTTGGCCCAGAAACAAGGTCCGGGGTCTGTCCCTGTGGTGGCCCCAGGAATAGGTCGTCACACCCGTGTCCCAGCTTCCTGTGAATTTTCTGCGTCTACACGGACACCAACCACCAACTTAATTGTCACAAGAGCTCTGGTGCCAACTGTTTCTTTTTTCTCTTTATTTCAATGGAAAAAAAATACACGCACTGGATGGAGAGATGTTTCAAGGGACCGATTTTCAATTTAAATATGTCTTAGATGCAGAGGGACGTCAGGAGGGTGGGTTCGGGAAGAAAAACTGAAGGTCCGGGGAAATGTCCCCATGGTTGCCAACTGAGTCCCCCTTTCAGAATAAGAGCTGGACGGCTGGTAGGTAGGATCTGGAGAGCAGGATTCTGTTCCCGCCCGGCCCGGCTTGCTGGGTCCACCTGCGGTGTAACGAAGGAGCCGAGTGGCCATGGGGTGTGGGGGGACCCCATGTTGGCTTTTGAGTTTGCACCCCCTCATAACATCATGTATGAGTTGTCAGTCATCACAAAAGTGAAGTCCCCCAGAGAGATGGCCTCTCTGCCGGGGGGAAACCGGCGAGGGAGCTGACTGGGGTCAGCAGCCGCCTCTTCCTCCCCCGTCGGCGTCCCCGTGGGCGTCTCGGCCTCCGCCTTGGCTGGCTGCACCTCCAGGGCCTCCTCCAGGAAGCACTCCTGCTCCCCGTCGTCCGTCTTGTTCAGCGAGGCCACGTTCTGCGTGTCCTTGATCCACTCCTGTGGGAAGGGACATGGTGACACACGCCCTGAGGAACCCGGTGGGGCGGGCGCTCTCACTCTCCGGTCCCACAGAAGGGGATCCGGGTCCCCCTGTCCCCAATATGCCGTTTGTCATACGGGGTATTTTGAGCTGAAGGGAATCAAGAAACAGCAGTTTGGGGCAGAGCTTTCCTCATGGGAATCTGTCTTTTCCATGTCATTTGTGCGGTTCATTCACAGGCCCCAGGCACTGCACTTAAGAGGGAAGGATGGAGCCCCAGACGCTGGAAGAGGCAGGAGGGACCCTACCCTGGAGCCTCCAGAGGGAGTGCGGCCCTGCGACCCTTGACCCCAGACTCTGGACTCCAGGACGGGGGAGGGTGGACCCCTGGGGGTTCAAGCCCCCGGTTTGTGGGGGCCCCAGAAAACTGACATCCGCCCCTGTCAACCCTGACAGATAAACGGCCGGGAACGTTTGCAAGAGGAAGTTGCCGGGTGGTTGGGAACCGGCGGAGGGGCCGCTGTCGAGAGCGCGACTTCCTGGCGAGATCAGAAGCCGATTAGCCCGGAAAATCCCCGGGGGGCCCCCCGAGTCATCTGGAGATCGGCTGCCTTGAGACCCCGGGACAGCATCTGGGTGACCCTGAAGGACGACAGGGGGCCCTGGGGGGTGACCCCTCACCTGGAAGTTGCCTCGGTGGGACTCGAACAGCCCGGGGAAGGTGAACTTGGGGTCGGGGACGCTGGGCATCAGGAGCTTCTTGACTCTGCAGTGGACACGGAGAGGCGGGTCAGACGGGCAGGTTGACTCCCGACCCCTGGGCCGGGCGGTGGACTCGCTCGGGGCCCAGACCCCTCCGAGGGGCCGAGCTGGGCTGCAGATTTCAACCGGGTGGAACCGGGTCCTCAGTTTCAAGGTGGGAGCGTTATGTATTTTATGATGTAAAATAATGTGATGTGAAAATACTATAGAAAATAAATAAAAATATTATTATATAAAATAATACAATATAACATATAAAGCAGTCATAAACTAAAAATAAAATAATGCAATATAACACAGAAAATAATAAGATAATAAAAGTATGACGTTCCTAAAGAAACATGTGCCTATCCTCCTGTGAATCCACCTTTGGCCCGTTTAATTCACAGGCCCCAGGGACCAAACCTAAGAGTCCCGTGAAGACGGGGCGAGCGTGTCTGTTTGCAGAGTGGTGGCCTCAGTTTCCCTAAGGCCTCGTGGGGGGCATCAGGCTGAGGCGCTGAAGGAGGTGAGAGCGGACGGGACGGGTGGCGGACGGCGCTCGAGGACCCGCGTGGTCCGTCCATCCGTCCATCATCCTCCTCCCGTCGCATCGCCGTTGCCATGGGAACCGCATCCCTGGAGACAAAGATGGCGCCCACCGCCCCGCGCATGCGCACCTGCGCGTGCCACTCACCGCGCCCAAGGGCCCGGGCGCAGGTAGGTTGAAGTCGAGATGGGAGCGGCCGGGGTGAAATTGTAGCAGGAAAGGTTCACAGACAGAATTACTCAATATAAGATTTTTAAATCGAGACCTATTTTAAAATAAAATGAAGTAAAATTTATAATTAATATGGTATTTTTAACATAGCGAACGAAGACAATATGTTTAAAATAGAGAACTATTTGATACAAAATCTTTAAAATAGAGGACTATTTTAAAAATCAAATTAAATTTAAAATTAATGCGGGATTTTTAACATAGAGAAATAAGTCAATGTATTTAAAATAGAGAACGATTTAATACAATATTTTTAAACAGCTGTTTTAAAATTAAAGTAAATTTAAAGTTGATACGGTATTTTTAACAGAAAGAAGTAATGCTATATGTTTAAAATGGACAACTATTTAATGCAATATTTTTAAAATAAAAAACTATTTTCAA